ACATCTGCCCCTTCTCCCCCCCAGCGAGACGAGGATCAGCAATCCCACAATTCCATGGATCCATAGGAATCATGGATGCTGCATGGCACAGGCAAGGAAAGCTGCCCCAACACCTGCAGCCGCTCCCAAAATGTGGAATCCCCCTGTCTCTAGAGTACCCAAAAGCTGATTTTTTCTCCCTAATTAATGATTAAAAATAATTCCTTGCCCTGACTTTTTTTCTCCTGCTGGGGTGGTGAGTGCACCTGGATCAGGAGTGCTCAGCACAAGTATCCCCAAGGTGTCCCTACAACTCCTCAGCCAGCAACTGAGGAGCAGGAATGACAGCAGCCAGCAATTAACAGCTGATCTCTCTGGTTTTTGGTAAATCTGAGCATTCTGGATAAGCTGGAGCCACGTCCTGTGCGCCACAGAGGAAAAGTTTCCTGCAGAGCACAGGTCCCTTTGGGATGGGGACAGGGCCAGGGGACAGGGCCACGGGCGGGGGCGAGCAGCTCCATTTCCATCCTTCCCTTGTGCAAAAACCCTGTAATTTTTAAGGTTAATAAAAGCCCTTGTTTGCTTAAGACAGCACCTGTTTCTATGGTGACACTTGCAACCCGGAGCCTGTTTATCAACGGTGACACCGAGCGCAGTGACAAACGCGGCCACCGCCGGGCGAGCCACCGCAGGGAAGGCCAGTGGCGCTGCCAGGAGCACCGGGGACAGCGGTGCCACCGTCCCTCGGCACCCAAACACTGCCATCCCCGTCCATGGGATCCCCGCTCCGCCCTGCAAAGCCTTGGGAAGGGATGGAGCAGCGGGAGCTGCACCCGCAGTGTGGGGAAAGCCAGGGTGGGAGATGGGTGGGAATGGCTCTGCTTCAAAATGCGCTTCCCATATCCGACCCCAGAGCGTGCCTCAGTTTCCCCAGCACCCTGCCCTGGAAGGGGTTGGTGGCTGATCCAAGCGGTGCCGGCGGCAGCAGCGCCTGGCGGGTCCCGCTCGGTTCCAGCCTGGCGCAGGATTTCTCCCGGCTGGCAGAACCCGTTTCCATAACGACTTTCTGTTACAAACATATTTTGATAAAAATAAAGTTAAAGCGGCGAGGCTTTAGTGGAGTACAAATTCGCTGCTCTCGCCCTCCCCCTTCCTCCTCCCTGAGGAGGGGGAATAAAGACGGAAAGCTTTCTATTTGAAGGGCAGTATTTTCTCCCTTCTTTTTCTTTCCCCACTGAATACAAAATGGAAAACCTTGTTTACCGGGGATTCGCTGTAAACCAGTTCTGACTCTGCCTGGTTACCTGATGCTCTACAGTATGTACAGGATAATGTGATAAATTCATTTCCAATTCACTGCATTATCCTTTGAATATTTTAATGACTCATTGAATGGAGTAAAAAAAAAAAAAAAAAAGAAAAAAAGAGAGGAAAAAAAAAGCTATTTCAAATGAACAATTATGCTGCATTAGAGTAAAGGCTGATTATATTTAAACACTGCTTCCATGGATAACGGGACATATCGACCTCCGCCTATAAGAGCTAATTTGGCTCTTATCTCTAAATAATTTTACACTGCAAATTACCATGAAAACCTAAAGGGCTTTAAAAACATTCATCAAAAGATATTATTCCACTTTGTAGCAACATTTTTATTTAAATTATTTTGAATAGGAGTGAAAGCATCTCTCATGTTTGACAATCGGAGCGGCGACGGAGCAGCGGCTGATAAGGAACGGCGAGCGGCGCCGAGGGGATGGGATGTTCCATCCAGAAAACCCACCTGGGAGAGCAAATCCCGAGCCAAACCCCAAAGTTGGTGGCGTGCCAAAGTACTGCAGCACCCAGGAGTGGCATTTAGTGCTGCTGGAGCTGTTTCCCTCCAAACTGGGGGATGGCAAAGCCTGGGTGATGCCGGAGGGATGCCAGGGCCATACGCAAATGATGCTGAGGGGAGGCTGGGGTGATACCCGGGAGAGGATGGGGTGATACCCAGGAGAGGATGGGGTGATACCCAGGAGAGGATAGGGTGATACCCAGGGGAGGATGGGGTGATACCCTGGGGATACTGGGATGATACCCAGGGGAGGATGGGGTGATACCCAGGGGAGGATGGGGTGATACCCAGGGGAGGATGGGGTGATACCCAGGGGAGGATAGGGTGATACCCTGGGGATACTGGGATGATACCCAGGGGAGGATGGGGTGATACCCCAGGAGGCTGGGGTGATACCCCGGGGAGGCTAGGGTGATACCCAGGGGATAGTGGGGTGATATCAGTAAGATGCTGGGGTGATGCTGGGGGGAAGCTGGGGTGATACCCAGGGAGGCTGGGTGATACTGGGCTTGTATCTAAGTGATACTGGGGTGACACTGGGTGGGTGATACTGCGGTGGTACCCAAGCACTGCTGGGTGATACTGGACTGATGCTGGGCGATACTGGGCTGATGCTGGGCGATACTGGACTGATGCTGGGTGATACTGGGCTGATCCTGGGTGATACTGGACTGATGCTGGGTGATGCTGGGCTGATGCTGGGTGATACTGGACTGATGCTGGGTGATACTGGGCTGATGCTGGGTGATACTGGACTGATGCTGGGTGATACTGGACTGATGCTGGGCAATACTGGACTGATGCTGGGCAATACTGGACTGATGCTGGGTGATACTGGACTGATGCTGGGTGATACTGGGCTGTCACTGGGTGATACTGGACTGATGCTGGGTGATGCTGGGCTGATGCTGGGTGATACTGGACTGATGCTGGGTGATACTGGACTGATGCTGGGTGATACTGGACTGATGCTGGGTGATACTGGGCCGATGCTGGGTGATACTGGACTGACACCAGCTTGGTGCTGGGCTGTCACTGGGTGATACTGGACTGATGCTGGGCGATACTGGGCCGATGCTGGGTGATACTGGACTGACACCAGCTCGGTGCTGGGGTGACGCTGGGTGACGCCGGGGTGACACCAGGGCACCGCCGGGTGTGGGGGCTCCGCCAGCCCCCCAGCACGGCGCCGGCCGCCCCGTCCCTCCCGGAGAAAGGCACTTGCAAGCCCCTCTCTGCACCAAAGCAACAGAAGGTGTCATGTAAAGCCTACACGGTTATTTTAGAGCCAGTGTGCAAATAAGGCTGTCAGCTGAAGCTCCTCGGAGCCAAGACTTCCATATCCCCCCAAGGATCTGCATCTCAACGAGACACCATGTGGCTGAGCCCGCCGGCTCCGCACTCGGATTTGGGGCTGGGGGATCAGGAAAACTCCGCCTGCAGCCCCGGTGGGACACGCCAGGACCCCCCCACTGCAGCCCTAGCCACGGGGACTGAGCTGAGGTGGTTTTGTTTCAGTGTCCTCATGGGATGGGAATGATTTTTGGGTAGTTTTATTGTGTGTTCGTGGGATTTGGGGGATTTATATGCTCTTCTGTGAGTGTAGAGGAGAGATACATATACACACACCCACGGGAGATAGAGGGGATATATTTATCCCATCATTATAGGGATCATATCAATATATAGGTTTTATATAGAATATTGCATGGAATCAGTGAATATCTCACGTTGGAAAGGACCATCAGGAGCATCGAGGCCAAATCCCTGCTTGGAAATGTGTGTTTATATTTATAAATGTATTTATCTCGTGATAAGAAAGCTTAAGGAATTGTTGGGGCTGGGATCAGCCCCATCCCTGGCAGATGGGGAAAACCCTTTTCCTTCCCCAAAATCTCCCTTTTTTCCCTGCTCTCTTTCATGGCCTGACACAAAATTTTTGACCTCAGGGATCACAAACAGCATCACCCAAACACCAGGGGGGAAAAAAATCCACCTTCCATTCATGCTGGAGGTTTGAATCCCACATTTTCCCTTCTTTGCTTAAAGGATTTTATATTGCCCCCCCCAAAAAAAGAAAAAAAAAGGAAAACCACAACCACAATAATTAGCAAGAGGGAACGGCTCCGAAGGATCTGTGTACAGAAGGAAACACAGGAGCTTGGGCTCCTTTGCGTTTGGTAAATATTAAAATTAATGAGAGACTTTCAGGACCCTGTTGTTAGAAATGCAGAAGGGTTTCTGTGAAGGATAAAAACACAAAACAACACGAAAAAAAGCCCAAGCCCTGTACACAAATTCCCGCAATTATTCCCGATGCTTCCTATTTTTCAGCCAATTATGGAATTCATGGAAAGTATTAATATCCCGTTTTAATTTGCTTAATATGCCCATTAACAATAAAAAGTCTAATTAAGGTATCTGTACAAAGAGCCCTCAGCAGTAATTTCAGAGAATAATAGAGGAGAACGACGCGATATTTCTTGTTAAATGCACGCTGCAAATTAATTGATATCTTAATTAGGCTTTAGTACCCAGATTATCAGTTAGATTGATTTAGGGCTGCAACATCTCGTATTTTGAAGACATAAAAACAAGCGGGAGGGGAACAAACTGCTTTTTCCAAAATATTTCTGGGAGCAAAGCCACGGCACACCGGGACAGGGGGAAGGACTCATCCCATGGACACAGTGCTGGGAAGTGCCACAATTCATCTCAAACTCATTTCCCCCCTTGTTTTCTCACTGAATTCAAACCATTTTTAATTAAAAAAAAATTTAAAAATTAAAAACTAGGAAAGGAATCGAGATTTTCACCAAACCCACTTTTTTAACCACAAAACCCAACCGGCAGCAGGAGCTGTTTGGAAGGACGCGCTGTCTCCGCAGAGAAAAACGGTGGTGGGGACTTGGCAAAATGTTTTTTGGGTTTTTTTCCCAGCATTTCCTTAAGAGAAGGAGGGGAAAAAAAAAAAACCCCAAAAAAACCAACAAAAAAAACAATCCAAGCAGCAATATTTTTGGACCAGCCTGGCTCTTTATAGCCTGAGGAAGCACTTCCCTACCTACACGCCCAGCACCATTTACATTTCTCTGGCAAACACTCGGCCTTCCTTCGGGATTTCACTGGGAGGAGTTTGCATCCCATGGGAATCCAGCCCTCCCCGCAAACCCCATGGACTCACCAGGATGTCAGTGACCAGCCAGTGCCTCCAGAAGCGGTGCCGGGGGTTGGCTCTGTTGGGAGAGTCGGGATCCACCATCACCAGGACGTATTTCTTGTTCTGCAAGAGAGGAGAGGGGGATGCTGTGGGCATGAGGCGACAGCAGGAAGACCCCAAATCCACATTTTTTCACTCTTTGCCAGCAGGTGGAAATCCCCTGTGGCACCAGGGGAGGCCACAAACCTGCTGGGGATGGTTTAATCCCAAATCTCTCCAAAGGAAAAATGTGGGTTTTGCCTCCTCCAAGGAAAAGGGACCCAGGAAAATTCCCTCTGCTTCCAGCCATCCTCTCACCACATCCACCGAGGGGCAGGATTGCTGCCACTCTGGAATTTTTGGGATCCAGGGGTGGTTTGGGACAAGCTGGGTACCCCATCCTCCATGGGGGTGGCTGTGAGAAGCCAAACTCCACCCCAAATATCCAAAATAACAAAAATACCTTCCCAGGATGCTGCAAGAAGCAGCACCTGGGGGTCAAGTGGGTGATGGAATTGGGTAAAAAGAGCTGGGATTTATGGATAACACCTCTTTAGCCTCCAGGAAACACTCACAGCCTGCCCCAGGTCCCCACTGAGGGTGCCCAACACCCAAAGGTGCCACCAGCAGAGCCCATGTGGATATTTTGGTCCACTGAGGATGGAGCTGGGTTGGAAGTGACCTCTGGAGGAGGCTGTGGAGGGAAAACCTGCTGATCTCCAGGGATTTGGCAGGAGCTCAGGCACCTGGTTATCCCACAAGAACCCAGATTAAAGGATCTATATCCGAATAAAAGCACCAGGTGCGTCTGTCAGGGTGCCACGCTCCGCTCCAGCCGCCCCGGGTGCTGGGCTTTCACAAACACCCTGGGATTCAGCCCTGCAATTCCCACTGGAATTAGCTGCAGCTCTGTGACTGCATCCCCTGGGCACTTGTGAAACCGGGCAGGGATTTGCACAGCGAGGTTCTTGGGGCTGACTCAATTTTTTCGCTCCGTTCCCCAACCGCTGGTTGGGGTAAAGAGGCAAAACCCCCGTGGGGTGTTGCCATAACCAGAGACCCTTTGTGCCCCCTTTCCCCAGCATCCCACGCATCTCATAAACCTCCTGCAGGCCACACCTCCACGAGGAGTGCCATTTTTAACCAGAAAAAGCAGATTTTGACCCATTTAGCCAACAGCCTGCAACAGTTGCATAGAAAATCCCAAACTCCGGCAAACCGCCCCACCCGGGAGCGCTGCCGAACCACTGCCCTGCTCTGTAAATCCCAGCCTGGCACCATCCAGGGTGGGGGAATTACATCAACCCTGCAGATGTGAGCGTGGGAAAGGGGCCGTGCTGGCCTCACCACATGAGGCTGAAGGTCAGGACCTCGAAGCTTAGCTGCCACCACCCTCCCCACCACACTCCCAGCTGCGGCCAGATGGAAAAAAATAAAAAAAAAACCGGGAAGAAGCAGCAAAATTCCTTAACAGCACTGAAATCGGTGTTTAATAGGAAGGAGAAGGAGGAGGAGGGAGGGGGAGAAGAAGCCCGACAACCCAAAAACCCTACGCTGGAAGTGTGAAGGAATTTGAGCTCTAACTTTGGGGAGGGTGCGGAGCCGAGCTCGGCGTTTCTGAATCTCTCGGCTCCACTCGGAGCCCAGCTGGTGGGAACAGAACGTGTAGTCATGGGACTGTCATCGTGTGCTGTCCAGGTTAACATGTAGCATTTCTATTACTATTAACAGACTTTCTGCTCCTCACTCCATCTGTTCTTCGAAATAATTGCAGTTGTACAGACCATGCCTTCGCTCCAGGCAGGCTCTGGGGAGAGGATAGTGCTTTTATGCAAAAAAAAAAAAAAAATTACAAAAAAAAAAAAAGGGAAAAAAAATGGGGAGGAAAAAAAAAAGTGTTAAAAAATAACAGCAAACACGAGAATAGAGTGCAAGAGAAGCTAACAGCAGGCTCAGAATTTGGGACAGATTGTGGCCTAGAAAGGTGACGGCGCACGCGGCCGGGGGCCGGCGGGGCCAGACCCCCGTGGGGACAGGAGCTGGGGTCAGCACCCTGAGCCAGGCTGGCCCCGTGGGATTTTTCTCTCTCCTCACCTGTCGGCCACCCTAAGAGCCACAATCCTTCACCTTCCACCTAAAGATAGCAAAGCTCTGCCCAAGCTGAGTTAATCCCAGCTGCTCATCCTGCGCTGCTCCCAAGGCTGCAGCAGCCCCCCAAAGCCACCCCAAAACCCCTGTGGGGTGTCCCAAGGCCGTGCCAGGCACCCCAAACACGGGGGAGATGTGTTTGAACTGCTTGCAAGCAGCAGTGCAGCCCAATGTGGTGATTTGGGAGTTTTTTAATGCTGAAATCTCTCCTCGACACAGGCTAACAGCATTAGCTGCTGTCAGGGCTGCAGACGGGAGCCAGCCCCGAGTGACACGGGAGCTGCTCAGCTTTACAAGCATGAACTAGCCCCAGGGATTTTGGGAGAGGAGGAAAGTGGCTTTAGATCAGAAAATTCCTCCAGTGTACAAGAACAGGAGGCATCTTGCTGAGCAAAGGGAAGGGAGGAAGCAGGAGAGGGAAGAAAATGCCGCTTGGGGTTGCTGTGGATGAAAATTTTGGGGGGGAAAAACCATCCCCAAAGCTTTTTCACTCATTCCTGCTTGGCCCAGGCCGTGGAGGAGCTGCTGGAGTGCAGGACCCAGTGTGTCTTATCGGTGTCATGGAATCATGGAATGGTTTGGCTGGGAAGAGACCTTAAACTCCATCCAGTTCCATCCCCTGGGCAGGGCCACCTTCCACTGCCCCAGGTTGCTTCAACCTGGCCCTGGGCACCTCCAGGGATCCAGGGGCAGCCACAGCTGCTCTGGGAATTCCAGCCCAGCCCCTCCCCACCCTCACAGGCAGGAATTCCTTCCCAGTATCCCATCCAGCCCTGCCCTCTGGCAGTGGGAGCCATTCCCTGTGTCCTGTCCCTCCATCCCTTGTCCCCAGCCCCTCTCCAGCTCTCCTGGAGCCCCTTCAGGCCCTGCAAGGGGCTCTGAGCTCTCCCTGGATCCTTCCCTTCTCCAGGCTGATGTGTGACACCAACTGGGTCACCCTTCCATGGCCACCCTTCCCCACTTCCTCACCCCATGACCCCTTAAAATCGACATTTAACCATCGACAGGATCTGCTGCCTTCCCAGGGACTCAAATCCACATCTGCACCTCCCAGCCTCGCCCCACACATCCCTGGGAACGGGCTCCACCCAACACGGAGCCAGAGCAGCAGAGCTGGTGGCAGGTGACAAGAGCCCTGCACTCCGTGTTTTCCCTGCTAATTGTTTCTAGAGGGGAAGCAGCAGCCAAATATCCAGTTATTCCTGCAGAAAGCATTAGCTGCTCCAATTAGGCACAGGTTTAGGAAACTAGCTCCGAGCAGGCAGGGACTTTTCCAAGAGGCAGGAGAGGGATTTTGTGCGCTGAGAATACACATGGAGCTCAACAGATCCGGCGGAGCCGGGGCTGCACAGGAATTAAAGACTTATCCAAATGAAAGCAAATAGGGTGTTAAGCGACACACATGTAGAGCGAGCGGTTTCCTTGGAAACCAGCGCACATGGAAGCAGCACACATGCAGTGCTCCGGCATTTTTGGCAGCGCCGGGGCGGCCTCAGAGCTCTGTCCTGCCGGGGATACCCGGCTTGGGCTGGGCAGGGAGCTGGATGCGCCCAGGGGTGTCCGTGTTGGTGTGTCCAACCCATTGGCATCCGTTTGTCCGGGGCATGGAGGAAAAACAGATTAGAACATGCTTTATTCTGTGAAGGGGGATGGACGGTGCCCAGATTTGGCATAGGAATTCCATCCTAAAACTAAGGAATGGCGATGGACCAAGCCCCAGCCTGGCCCAGCCCAGTGCCTGCTTCCCAACGTGGGGAATGAGCAGGTTTGGATGGATCCTCCCAGCTCTGGATCCCTCCGAGCTGTTCCCATCCCACCGGGAGCATGGGATATTCCCTGTACCAGCCCCTCACCACTCAATGGATGAGGAGAAATTTCCACCTGCCCCACTGCCACCCACATCCTTGACAGCTCCTAAGGAATTTCTCCAGGTGCCAAAGGAAATCACAGCATCGAGAGGCTGTGATGGTACCTGAGCCAGAAACCCTTTCACCTCCCCGGGAGCTGCAGCCTGGCATTGCCACAGCCTGGATTATCCTGCTGTGAAGGATTTTGATGGCATGAGATGATCCAGGCTGGTCCCACAGGTGTGGAGATGGGATGGGGGATGGAGCCAGGGAAGAGCTGGGTTTATGCAATTACAAACCAGAAAACCTCAGTCTACCCCAAAACCACCTCCCAAAGCAGGGCAGGAAGCTGAGAAGAGCACCCAGAACACTGGGAAACATCATCCAAGCTCTCCTCAGGGATTTTTGGAGGGTCCAGCTCATGTCCCACCAGTGCAGGAGTTGGAGGTGGAAGCACCGCCAGCACCAGCTGAGATTTGAGATCAATCTGGGCTCTTCTCTTGGCTTGTCCCCAGTACTAGAAAGTTTCTAAAACAGGCACCGACTTTGCAATTCTGCTGCTGCTGCCTCACCAGAGAGAAATTCCAGCTCCTTCCTTGGCGGCAAAGAAATTGTTTGCGACCAAGTTGTGTTGTGGCTTTGGGAAGGAGCTGCCGAGCGTGGCAGAATTTCACCTCCTCGTTTTCCACCTGCGCCTCGCCACTTCCACGGGCAAAAAAATAGGTCAGCAAAATTAACCCTTCTCCGCAGGACTTGCCCAAGGGGACAAGTGGCACCGGCTGAAGGCTTGACCCAACTCTCCCAGGCCTGGCTCCCGCTGCCAAAGGGAACTTCATTGAATTTCCAGCTGCGACTCTCTCCATCCCTCTGCTCTCCCTCAGGGGTCCCTCACCGGCCAAATATTTATGCAGCCTAATGTCCTAATGAGAATTGATTCATCCAGGATGGTTAAGGAGTGTGTGTGAAGGGTCTGCTCCCAGATTAAGGGCCTGGGATGCTTTAAGGAATGGATTATTTGCTCTGCAAGAACAGTTTATTTTCCCTTGTAGTGAATTTGAGAAGCTCTGCACAATCAAATGGCAATGGGGG